GAGACCGTGCAGTCCTCAGTCCTAAATGGGATGTTTTCATCTAACCCCTCCTGTCAAGACTCGGGGCTCTATGGAGATGAGGAGGTAGATTGATTAGTCAAAGCAAGTGAATGGCTGCAGAGAAACAGTGTCTTCCTCAGACAACAGGACTGACACACACGCAAAAGTCTTGTGGCAGCATGCGTGTGTCTTGCACAGGCTCAAGACAAAACCCCAACACTGCAAAAGGGAAGTAAACACAATATCCTACCCCTAACCAAGATGCAATTGATACCTACTGGGAAAGGAAAAATCCATTTTCTCCAGTGGAGTGTCACTGGGTATATCAACCACAATTCGGGGCAGGCTCCATGCCCAGGAGTAGTTGACCGACATACCAGTAGTGTTTGTTTGTTGCGGGGGGGGGGTGTTATTTCATCCTGGGGGTTGGGGGAGGGAGGCATTTTTGTCTTATTATGTTTTGGAGGTTTTCATTTTTTTTTTTTTTACTGGAAGTTGTTTTGCTTTGTTTTTGAGAGAGAAAAAAAAAAACATGAAATTGGGTAGATAGGGAGGTGGGTTCTGAGAGGAGTTGGGGGACGGGAAATACCAAAATAAATTCTATGAAAAAAAATTGATCAAAAAAAGTTCGTTGAAGAAACAAGAGAAACATGACAATGGAATTATCGAACAACCGTTTCACTTTCTACAGTCAAATCGTTCCCAGACTGTAAGCTCCCTGTCCCTGGGAACCACCATCCTCCATTCCACTGCAGAGTCCCTTGGAGCCATCAGAGCACCCACACTGAACTAGACCGAAGCTAATTGCTGGTAAGTGAGCAAACCTTCAGAGACATAGGAGAGTGTGTAGGAGTCTTACTCCTGACAGGACTGAACAGAAAAGGGCCACTTAGGAGAATCCTGACAGGAAGTAAAAAGACCTCAGATAGCCAGCTCACTTCAAAAGACAGATGGGTTTTAGGAGCTGAGGAAACCTTCACAGGTAGCACATGACTTTGGTGGCCAAAGCCACCTGGATGGTTTCAATGGAGGCAAGAATGCCCCCCCTTCATAAATTCTCAAGCTCCATAGACTGGACAGTGTCTCTTCCAAACATGTTTACTTTGAGTCTGCTTCATTATAACATAAAGTCCTTAGAAGAGCAGAACTCAAAGAGGAGGCCAAAACATGTCACAAACCTGGAGCCAATGAAGCCCTTCAAGTGAAAAACAGGGAGAAGAGACAGTGATCCTCGCCAATTCGAGCCCCACCTCTCAGCGCCCCTCACAGTTAGTTCTCAGTACCCCCTGAAACAGGGGCTACCCACAGGGTGTGGGTTTCAAGGGCTCCAGTTTCCATCTTTAGAGTGGCTAAACACAAGCTGGAGAACAGGATTCTCGCTCTACACGGCAGCCTGGAGAAAAATCCCATCTCTGTGTTGTGCCAATTTTAGAAAACATTTCTGTACAAGTTTATATTAAGTGGAATCTAACAAAAATACCAGTGCCAGGCATGGGATACCTCCCCTAGAGTTGTGGGCCAGGGGAGTCAAAAAGACTCCCAAAATGATCTAGGCAATTGCCCTCACCCTCAGTTGCCTTCCAGAACATGAAGGTGAGACCCTAATGCTGGAGACATACTTCGGACACAGGGCTCTCAGGAATCCAACTGGAGCCTCCTCCCTGAGTCCTGGCTTTATAGTATCTGAAGGTTCTACATGAGCTGTCAAGGGAGGAGAGCAATTAATAGTCCTACCCAGCTGTGGAGTCAATGAGCCATGACAATAGCCAGATGGCAAGAAATAGCAAAGGACACAGTAGTGGCATGTAAATATTGGGAGTAACCAATAACCATGTAATTGGGCCTAAGAGTTGCTCAATAGGAGGGAATTCATGCATGCAGGCCTGATATTGTAAAGCTAACCAGCTCCCTGTGGCTGAAGAGGCCATAGACCCTAGAGGAGAACCTATCAGTTCCCCTTTCCTGAGCAAGCATAACCCCCAACTGCATTTTAAATCCATAGCCTTACACACACACACACACACACACACACACACACACACACACACACACACGATACGTGTAGCTCTCACCGCTCACCAAAGAGGCTTCTCTTTGCAGCAGTGGAGACCATTATAGAAACCCACAGCTGGGTAATATGCAATAGCAACTGATCATGGGGTTCCCAGCGCCAGCTGATGTATCTACAACAAAACTGCTAGACCTAAGGCTCAGGAACAGAGAAGAAAAGGGGCTGGGGAACTTGTAAGAGCTACCAGACCAGGACATCTGCTGTGAGGCACACAGTCCTGTATATATGACAGAGAGCTGCACCCATAAAAGCTCAACAATATGAAGTCTTAACACCTAAATAAGACCAGCACAATGGCAACACCAGCTGACATGCCAGCATGGATAGGGGAACTCCCACAAGGTCACACCCTAGATGAAGAGTCACAATCAATGGCTGCGGAGATATGGCAAATTAGTCTTTTCCAAGGATGAGTCCCCTGATAGGTTATTCAATGGTCATCTATAAACAAATACGCATAATAACAGCACTAAATGGACTCAGAAGGGGATGTGTGTATGTGCACGCATGCACAAACATAACAGTAAATAAGGAAGAAACCATGAACCTGAGAGGGAGTTGGGGGGCATTGCCATTGTTTGGGGAGAGGAAGGGATGGAAATGATTCAAATTCAAGGACTCACAAATGATGTGCCCAAAATGTTCTTAAATCCAAAACAAGAACAAAAGTACATAATCATACAAAGATGATCACAATGGTTACTATAAACTTGATGTGTGAATTCTAAAGCCATCATACAAAATTTTCTCAATGGTTTGTAAACAATTAGGAGGAGAATTCAGCAGCAGGCCACTTGGGAAGCGTATGACGGGAAGAATTTCTTCCTTTTACATGACAGTTACACACCTCTATGCGATCAGACCATGCATCCCTGAAGTGGCCAGATTATTAGGCACTCAGATTTCCACGTGGGCCTGAAAAGCCATGTCCTCCCATGCAAACTAAAACAGCCCTGGAGTGACCTCAGCTTCTCATACATTTCTTCATCCCCATGATCATGTATTAACTTCAATTATAATCTTTCTGTTTAGACTTGCTTAGATATCTATTTCCTAATGAGAAAAGTTCTAACTGGGTAGGGAATGTATCATTCAATATTTATCTTTTCTACCCAAGATGGTAAATAAGCATCCTACTAGCAGTTTGTGATATTGAGTGGCTTGAACTAGAAGAGGAAAATGATGGCATCTAAATGTCCACAGAATCAGAATAGTTGAATAATTTATAATAAAACAATAGTTCAGAATATTATAAAGGAAAGTAAAATTCTTGAAGAGCATAAATCAGAGAGGTCTCTCAAAATAAATTATGTTTTAACAAGAAAAATACAAAAGACTATAATCACAGTCATAGAGTCAAGACATGGTCAGGTGCAAATACTTTTGTAATCTAAAGAACACAGTGAAAAGCATGGGGAAATGTTTTCCATTCAATTGCAGCATTGAAATGTAAGCCACGGTTTTGCTGTATAACATGGGGCTATTCTCAGGATGGAAGGGGACCTCAAATATGGATAGGATAGAGCACGTGTGTGATGTAAGAGTAGAGGCAGGAATACTGGGAGGGGACAATTCATACAGGAGCGGAGGGACAGCTCAGGGTGGGGATAATCACAAAGGATGTATAAAAAAAAAAGCCATAAGGAAGATCTACCTCTTTATAAGTTAATTAAAAATATAAAAATGTTTTGAAGGATTTGTCTTTCTGAGTTTGGATCACCTTACTTAATATTCTACTTCCCAGCCCTGTTCATTCCCCCATGGAAGGAGGGGAATGAACAACTCATTGAGAAGAAGAAAGGGATCAGTGGAAGTAAGAGGAGGACCAACGAAGAGGAATGGGAAATATAAATGGATAAGACACATCATAGACAAAGTGAAATACCAACATTAACTGTTCTCTACATTAGATAGATGTTTACATCTACATCTACATTCATAAACAGAATACTGTATATGAATGTGCTAACTACTTACGTGATATCAACATCAACAACTCTGACGTCAGAGCATCAACTAGTACTTCTTGACATAAAATATTACGCAACCCTCTAAATCCACATTCATAAATTAGTACAGCTTTTAGTTTCTGTGTGCAGTGGTTGATAGTTAAAACAGGAACTCACAATCGAACCATGTGCCCAGGGTCTGTGGAATGCCAGGCCATAAATGGGACATCTAGATTATACCCCATCTACCCAAGAGACCACTAGGGAGGAAGGAGCAGAAAGATTATAAGAGCCAGAGGTCGGAACAGGGGAGGAAGACACCAGTGAGATGAGAGACCTGTCCCCTCTGGACGTGACAGGCCCTGCACTCCTGAGCACACAGTGACTATGATTGCCTGCATGAGACCTACAAGACCCAGGCCAGTCACCATCACAGCCTGCATGGGAGCGGTGCTCATGGCCCGCCAACTTGGCTAAGTTTTCACTGTTGATGGCTGATGGTGGAGGAAAACTCAGTTCTCTTGAAGGCTGCAGTCCCTGGAAAGTTGACCATGTGCCAGTGAACGACCACATGCCTATGAGTTTCTGGGCAGCACAAATTGGACTTGGCAGGTGGTAATTTTTTAAGACATATAATTGGGCAGGGGTGGAGTTGAAGGAATCTGGAAGGAGTTGGGGTGAGGTGAGTGCAGGATGATCAAACATGTTGTAGGCATATGTGAAAATTTTAAGGCATAAAAATATAGTTTAAAAACTCTTTATTGAGCTTACCTGTTATCATGGCAAAGCATTTCAATAAAAGCGAAGAGATATGTGGGAAGTAGTAATTAGTTATTCTATAAATAAGAAAAATTACGGCCACACTTATTTTTTTATGTGGGTTGGTGTATCAAAGTGCCTTTTCTCTATTAGTAAAATAGTGTGAAGAAGAGTGGGTGTCTGTCACCTGGGGGAGAAAACTCAGGGTGCTTTTTACTCACCTGTGCCGAGAAACCACAGAAGAAGGCAAACCAGAAATGCACGAGGGTGAAGGCGAAGTTCTTGTAGAAGAAATAGCATAAAAACTTGCACATCCTGTAGTAGGACCACCTCCCGTGAACAAGAAGCAGCCGCTGGAGATACTTAAACTGAGCCAAAGCATAGTCGCTGGCCAAGACTGCTTGCAGGCCTTCCTGGCCGCTGATGCCAATGCCAATGTGAGCACCTGGCAGTGTGGGGGTGGGGAGGGGGAAGAGGAGCTTTATCACCAAAATGGCAGGATCTTTAAGGAGCTTCTTCCTCTTTTATATTAGTCATTTATTGTAACTGTATAGCTTCAATAATTATTATAGTCTTCACATCTATCATGCATTCGTCACATAGTTAAGTATCAATTCTAGTTTTATATAAGAGAAAACTGGGACAGAAAAAGTTTGGAAATTTGCACCTTACACAGGTGCAACTAAGATGGAACCTGGCTCCTTTCACCTGTTCTGATGAGTTTTCCCCTCATTTTCAAACAGGAGAAGATGAGAAATGTGCAAATGATTTCACTGAAGAGAAGTATCTTAGGGATCCTAATAACTGTGGATGTGCTGGGCCCAGAAAGTATCATTCATGGAAGAACCATGGTAAAGTTAAATTAATGCACATTTCAAAGACATATTACTGCATGCTGAAAAAGGACTCCGAACATGTAGTGTGCCTCACTGAGAAGACACCCTCTTACTTTTAATCATGCTGACGTCATTGGCCCCATCGCCAATAGCCAAGGTAACAGCGTTCCTGTGCTTTTTGACCAGCTCCACTACTTGGGCCTTCTGGAGTGGGGTGACTCTGCAGCAGACCACAGCCTTGCACATGCAGGCGAGTTCCAAAAGATCGTTCTCCACATCACTTTCTAGGGCATGGGCCTGTATCGTCAAAACACACAGAAATTAACAGCAACAGAGCATATGACCATTGTCAAAGCAAATGTCTTGGTTCTTAACTTCAGAACCATCTCATTACCTTGTCGAATCAGAACCACAAAGGCAGTAACAAGAATAAAGGTGTGAATATTGAGCCATCAGTGAGTTTCAAGGAGATTTAACATAGAAATAAGAGACAGGCCCTTCGTCTGTCTCTTTGACATGCTACCTTGTTTTCTTGGCAAGATATAGCTATAATAGATGTTGGAAAAGTTCTAGGATTCACTACAATCAGTAGAAGCAACAGAGAGAACCCACACACATCTCAACAGTTTTAAATGACCTGCAAACCATGGTGACTTCTACATGTACTGTCTTGTACAGTTACTGTTTGTGAATGCCAGTGTGCAGACAAGATGAAAAGAACATGGCGGAGGTGGGGGGTTGGCCCTGAAATGCACAGTGGGTGAAATCAGAAGCCTGAAAAATGGGCTGGCAGGCAACCTGTGCTTCAGCCAAGGTTCCCCAACCATTTCCGTCCTTGCTCCGCATACCAAGAGCCTTTCTATGCTCTAAGACACCACTGAGAAAAAGAGCACAGTTCTCTCCACGTAACTGGACAATGACCTTTCTAGAAACATTTTATTTTGCACTTTATAATAGACACGTTCAAAGGAAACAAGAATCTATTTTAGCCACAGAGACAGCTGCTCTGAGCTGGTAGACACTCACGGACTCTGGACTGACAGCTGGGGAATCTGCGTGGAAGCAAACTAGGCCCGGTGAATATGGGTGACAGTTATGTGACTTCAACTGTTGGGGGAGGGAGCTGGCAATGGGACCAGGACATCTCCTGGGGGCATGTACTGGCTATTTAAAGCCCATTCCCTATGGTGGGATACCTTCCTCAACCTTGATACCGGGGATAGGGCTTGGTTTTGCCTTACCTTGGTACTGAAGACTTTGTTGACTCCCCAAAGGAGGCCTTAGCCACCTCTGAGGAATGGATAGGGGAGGGTGGGATGGGAGGAGGTGGGGGAAGGCAGGAGAAGGGAAGGGAAACTGGAATTAGTATTTAAAATGAAAAAAAAAGAAAGAAAGAAAGGAATCTATTTTTAAGTAATAAATATTTGAGTAACCTGAGCAAATCCTTAGCAAGCAGTGCTTCTGAAGAGCATATATATTAGCTCTTTCTTTCAACCGAGAGAAAGACAGGGCAGGTGAACATCACCTGAAAGCCCACATCCCAATGCTGGCTTCCTCAAGCCCAAAGAAGAGTCAGAGCATACATAACCTATTAGGGCTCCTGTCCTACTGTGTTGGCTGGGCCATTCAGCTCTAGATCTTAGCAGACAGACATAACTTTCGGTTGGTGTTCATCTGTGCAAGGGAAAAGTTCATGTCATCTGGACCAGCCTTCGACTGAGCTTGGCCTGCAGCTGAGCTCTGTAACTTTCCATGGTGTGGAAGGCAACACATCGCTGTGTCTGGGATCCAGCTGGATGGAGCTTAGAGCAGGCAGATGGCCACAAGGGGGAATCTAATAGACTCGCCTCCAAACTCCTTTTGTCCACTAAGAAACCGTCCTCAAGAACAAACGTTCATTTTCCAAACTCCAAAGTGAAAAATGAGCATCAAAGCCAAAGAAAGATGTGAGATTAAGTCCTTTGTACACATAAACGATAATTTCACTCGACTGCAGCCGGGGCTTTTGTATTCTAATTAGAGACTTGGAGGAGCCATTTGAGTTTCATTCGGGGCTTGGAACCTGAACTGCGTAAAAAGTACAATGCAAGTTTATTCTATTATGACAAAAACCAGATTTCCTAATCAAATCAAATTGTTTGGCTTTGCTGTAGAATGTTGCTATTTAGAAGAAAAAAAAACACCAGAGGTATCTTAATGGCAATGATTTGGTGTGGTAATTCTATGAAGGTCAGGTTATGACTCGCAAATCACAAACAGCGAGAGCAGTAACTGGAACCCATCCATCCAGTTGCATTACTTCAATTAAGTGAGACTGAGCTGTGACATTCCCCCTTACACAAGCATTTAAACAATTCTCCTAAGTGACTGTTTAGGCAGAACTCATAGATCCGCCGGGAACTGTTGCTCCAGCGCCTCGCAGCCAGTGCGATCATCCAGACGATGTAAGAAATGCACCCTAGAAGTCTTCCCTTTCGTAAACAGGAAATCCTGTGCACGCCCTGGTTCTTGTAGTGCCGTTTGTTTAGAAAACACAAAAGGGGTTCTCATTATGACAGCACAAAAGAGATGATTATTGGGGCAAAGAAAAAGAAAGGACAATAGCCTCCAGCCAACTCACCAAACTGTGGCCGTTTATGACTAAGGCATATTCTCCTGTAACCGCTTCTTCTGCACCCGAGTCCAACTCCAACTGCTGCTTACTTTCATTAAGTACATGTCCATTGGAAAAACTCGTGTTTTGTCCAAACAAATTTTCCTTGGCTTTCCTTAAAGAACAGGAGAATTTTAAAAAAGGCATAACAAAGTACACAGCGCCCATCTATATAACTCTACCAAAAGGCTGGCCTAGGACTTAATTTATTCCATCACTATTCAGACAGAAATAGGCCCAAGAATTAGGTCCAGCAAACAAGCTGATAGGCGGACAGCAGTACATGTCAAAGAACCGTATGAAGTGGGGGCAAGGCACAGGAAATAGACAGGGAGGAATACTGAGCTGGGTGGTGGTGCGCACCTTAAATCCCAGCACTCAGGAGGCAGAGGCAGGTGGATCTGTAAGTTCAAGACCAGCCTTGTCTACAGAGCGAGTTCGAAGACAGTCAAAGCTGTTACACAGAGAAATTCTGTCTTGAAAAGAAGGGGGAAAAAAAAGAATGTTTTAAACTACCCTAAAACTAGTTTTAACTAAGGGATCTTGATAGCTTTGGCATCTAACGGCGAAGGAACTATTCTCTGGCATACAATATTTTAAATACGCTAAACAGACTAAAAACAATGACTGATGCCTTGCCATTGCACGGCATCCTCCTTCCCTCCCTCTCCTTTTCTGAATTCTTCTTTCTCCCTCCCCCTTCCCCATGCACACATACGCACGCACACACATACACGTGTGGTGTATGTGGAGTAAGTGTGGGGGATGAGTGTGTGCGCATGACCAACACTTTGACATACAATGTTAAAGGAAACTATAAGCACCAAAGCAGGAGGCTGTGGCAAATGGAAATTCCTTGCACTGCTCTAGACCTGCTCAGCAATAGTTACAGAGTCCTGCACACATCTTCCCCATGTCTCCCATTTAAGAGAAAGTTTGTTTGGTGACATAACACCATTACAAGTGGCATTTTACTGTCCTTTTAAAAAAATGTGATGATGTCTTTAAAGGAAGGGAAATTCCCTCCGAGAAGACCTGTGTGGGACGTGGTTATAAATAACGGCTCTATTGGCATAACCACAGGAGCTTCCATCATAGGAATGCCAGCAGATGCTGCCGCACCAGGGTACCCAAGCCGGCCACTGCATGTGAATGTACAATTACATGTGCAGATGAACGCCAGGGGAAAAACAGGAAGTAAGGAATAAATTAGTAGATGTTTTGACTGACGGCAAAATGAACTGTCTCCCCGAAATCCCACCCAGTGTGGAAAACATTTATTAAAAGAGGTTTATATTGAAGTTCCTCTGATAGGCGAGAACGACCATATTAAAATAAACATGTTGCCTTCAGGCTTTTGAGGCATTTAAAAACGCATCACTAAGAATTTACATTCGAAACTACAAAGGAGACCCAGAAGCCCCGAAGCCACTTTGTTCCCTGGCTCAACATTGCCTTCTGCTGTCCAGGACCAAAATCGCGGCTCACTTAAAAATCCTACCCCTCTCCCAGGGTTCCCAAACAGCTAACAGACAGTTCTCAAAAAACAAACAAAAGGATGGGTAGAGATGAGAGTTCCGTGGGAAATGCACGGCGGGAAGGCAAGCCCGGAGAAGGACTGTCGCGAGAGGGAGGTTCAAGCTTCCACGGGACATAAGCAAACCAAGGAATGCTCGTTGTGGCCCTGAAAACTGACAGCGACGAGTGCTGAACGGGAGAAAAACTGGACGCGAGCTCTTCTATGAAGGCGCTGCAGATCTCACAAGCTGGGTTTTGAGAAGGCACTGAGGCAAAAGCCCATCTCCCAGGGTTCCCTGTGTAGTGAGGCCCTCACCTGCTGTATAAATGACTCAACCTGTGTCCCCCTTGGAGAATAAAGACATTCCAAAGGAGAGCGAGGTTCGTGACCACACTAGTTGAGATCCTATTTACTTAGTTTCCCCAACAGTGTCTTCCTAACAGGTGATACAAACCCTCATTCTAGGCAGAAAAGGGACAATTATTTTACACTCTACTAAAATTCCTAACGCTCCCTCCTCCCAGACTTTGACTCCCTGCCGGACTGGATGCGCACACGCTCAGACCTAGGTGGGTGCCCATAGCTGTCATGTCTTTTACTTCCTGGAACCCAGTTCTCCAAATACAAGCTCGTTCTCACCAAAGCAATTATTAGGAGGGGAGAAGCTGCTCATAGCACCTTCCGATGAAGATGTGCATCGAGTGGGCATCACACACACTGTCTAACAAACAGAGGCAGAAACAAAAGACTGCCTTGCTTCCGAGGCTTTGTAAGGAGGGGCAGTTTAGCACAATGCTGGAGTGCAGGAGGTGCGCTGACGACAGCCCAAACCCTCCGAGGCTCAGTACAGCAGAGCCTGTGCTCGGGCATGTCTTCCATTTTGTCAGCCCTTTGCTGGCCCTCGAGATCCCAGAATTAAGAAGATCTGTTAGGAAATAGGTTTAAATTATGACATCGTGTTTAAAGGGAAGGAATTTGGACTTCAGTACAAAGGCCAGTGCTTCGTGGTTGCTTATCCCTGGGCACTTGGGTATGCCTCGGGCAGATTAGCTATCTGACTTTTGGCCACTTGATTAGTCCATGGCAGGCCCAGGAATTGGTTACCACAACAAATGGCTTTACACGTGCAATCAGCCACAAGCTATCTCTAGGATGGAGTAAGATAGAATGACAGAAGCAGGCAATTTGAGACGGCACGACACTACCACTACCAACAGTGGAGGCAGGGAGAAGGTAAATTAAGTTTTTAGTGCAAGCTTCAGGTTTATCATCCCTCACGACCCCCAAAGACCTATAAAGACGCTAGTCCATTATCAGAAAGTGGGAACTGGCCTAGACAGGGGCACAAACCCCTGAAAACAGGCTGCATGCATGCTATGTAACTTGAAAATTATACATCCATATTGACAAAATCTAAACATATTTGACAGGTTTAACTAGAAGCACTTAAGTAGTTTCCCTCCATTGACACCTATCCCCCAGGTCCTGCTCTTTGACACACTTTTTTTTTTTTTTGCATGAACTTTCACTGAACTTAAAAACACAACCCAGAATGGCACAAATTTACGATTTTAATATTTCATCCCCAAAGCTATGGGCTCGGGTATATAAATCAACAAAATTAGGAACACAGCAGAGATTTCCACACAAGAGCTCTCCTTAGGTGCTCGCTTCCCTCAGCTTCCATAGAAAGCAAATGCATTCTGGAAACGTATTCATTCTGCCAGGGAATTTTCTGTCGCACATTGCCGCCATGTTAGACTCAAAACATGAAGGCACCTCCAAGTCTGGACTGAAATTAGCATTGCCAGCCTTGTCAACGAGCAATGGAGCCTCGTGGGATGTGAGATGCTACACCTACCTGTAAATATTTTCCTTTGACTATTTTTCTTCTCATTAAAAAATAAGCATGTTTTTAGGTTTTTAATCAGTTGCAAAACTTTGCACAAATACTACCATTTGTGATGACATAACCAACAAGAAGATACTCTTGTTGCTTATTTCTATTACTTAGAAAGAACCATGGCATGTATTTCCCAGGGCTTGATAGGTAGTTAGGTGGGTAGATGTATAGTAGTGTGTGTGTTTTCAACATTTCTCATTCTATGTGTGTTTTATAATTTCATTTTTTTCACTTAAATATGTCACCTATCTTCCAAAGTCAATCAAATTAAAATCATTTTTTTGCTGACTATTTTGTATTCCATTACTGGCAAATATCACAGTATTTAGCAAAATTCTTCACAACTGGGTCTATGAGCTATTTTTAATTATCTATTATCATACCCAATGCAGCAATCAATATTTCCTCAGCTACATATTCATACATTTGTTCATTGTTCCCTTAGAAGAAGTTGCTGGAACAGGGATCACTGAGTCAAAGGCATGCATGTTTATATTTCTGAAGTGCATTACTGGTTTCCTCTTATAGAGAATTCTACCATTTAAAGGTCCCAACAATGATACGTAAATAACACACGTTTTCCCACATTTCTTCCATGGAATAACAGCTATGACATCTAAGTAGTCAACTCATTGTAGTTGGATAAAATCTTGCGGTATTAACTCAACTGCTTTTCCAACTAGTCCCATGAACTCAGGGGCCTTCTCTTTACTCGGGGCACATCTTGCCTGGGAAGGGAACTAAACACAAAAATGGGGAGTCAAATTCTTGGTTTCTGAGATCCAAAATAGACTCTTGAAAGGCATACTATCAATATCACTCTGAATCTTAGCTGCCAGGAATGTTGTTGAGTATTTTTGAGAGGAAAACAGTAAGGTTTCTTCAGGTCTCAAAAGATAAGTTTGTGCTGTCTTCAGGAACAGAGTAGAAGGCAAATCTCTCATGACGACGAGTGGCTAAATGAAGGCTTTGCCATGTCTGTAAAAGAGTCTCTTGATAGATGGTTGATGTGGGAAGGCCCAGTTGGTGGCGGATCTGGGCTATAGGAAAGCTAGCTGAGGGTTACTAGCGAGCCAGTAAGCATCATCCTCTACGGCTTCCTCTTTCAGGTCTCTGCTTTCAGATGCCTTCCTTGAGTTCCTGCCTTGACTTCCCCCCACTGATGGACTGTTTCCAGGAAGTGTACTATAAAATAAACCCTTTCTTCCCCAAGTTGTTTTTCGAGGGGTTCAATGAAATGTAACTTCTTTGGAGGCATTATTTACCTCTTCAAACATAGTCTAACTAAAAATAAACGGTCTCCTATGCTCAGACACAGTCAACTCTGCCCACTGCCTTCCATTCCTGGGGATTCATACTGATGCTAAGATTTTGTTTTGGAGGCTTTTGTTGCTAGTTTGTTATTTTTAGACTTCCAAAAGAACTGGGAAAGTCATCATTCACTGCTGCTTTGGTTTTTTTTCTCTTAGCCTCTGTGCAAATTCAATACCCATGCCTTAAGCTTTGTTGTTTTAAAAAGGTCTTCATGAAATCATTTTCTCTAAAATAAGTGCATACATTTTAAAATTGTGCCTCACAATAAATCCTGACAATGTTATTTTTGAAATTTTAGGTTTACTTGTGCAGGTTAGTTGCAAAAAAAGAAAGTGGTTTTAGTTTTAATAATTAAAGTGCAAATCAACCAACTATACCAGGAAATAAATGGGGAGGAAAATATTTTGATTAATTGGTTTTACAATTTGTATAAAAACACTAGAAATATATATACATACATATATGAACATAAGTGACAGTTTACCTTAAATTAATATTTTAATTAGCCTTCCAAGTATTACTATTTCCCCCAGAGACTCCATGATTTCTGTCATAAAAATGACATCAAAAATTATCAAAAATCATTAACTCCAATAAAAACATGGCCAGTATGCTGTCAATAAATAAATAATGCTATATAAATAATTAAAATATATCAGTAATAATTAATGAAATTTCCTATTTTTATTTGACAAAGACATCTGTGGTCTCCTGCCAGAACTTCTCACCAGCACACATGAGTCCTTTTCTAGGTGGGGTCACACAGAAACAACAGCAGATTCGATCTACAAGTTTCAGTTGGTGAGATGCCATCTAAGCCTCCCTTCCCTATCCAGCAAGCTTTAGTCAGAGAAGCTGTGGTAGCAGCAAGCCTTTTTCAAATTTAGAGGAAAAGAATTATGTAGATTTCTAATGTTTTTGTCCAAATGAAGTGACAGGAAATAAATATAAGAAACAGGGAAATGTTAAGAAGTATTAGTTCTCCGAATTTAATAGTTCTGTACTCTTAAGTCCAGTGTTTCCTAGCGCTAGGGGGCAGCTGTACAAGCAGCAGAGCCTTAGGCTTCTCCTAGGAACTGCTCAGCGGCCTGAGCTGAGCGCTCGCTCTTCCGATCATACGGCATCTCCTACTGTGTTCTCCAAAGTCATCTTACCACACTCGGGTGCCTACTAAACACTAATTCCAGGGGTCTAGACCTCGGAGACAGGACTCAAAAGTGGAAGGAAACCAGGCAACTGATATTTTTAAAACACGCCTTCTGTGACATTGTTATTCATCGTCACTTAATATCGTCCAGGCTTTTGCTAAGAAACAATTTTAAAGAACAGCATACACGACCTGAGATTCTTCCCTTGCAACACATGGGAAATGTAGGCGCCCCGGAGACGATGACTCGTTGCTAATGTCAGCTTCATCCTAGCTTTTGTGACAAGCATGAACGAGACTGAAGGAAGCTTGCAGGAACGCCTGCACTAAGAGGAAGCGCTGGGGGCAGCGGCGTACAAACCTCTGCTTTCCCAAACGCCCGGAAGTCCTTTCCCCTTCCCAGACTTCCTTTCTCCCTTTCCCTCCACACACACCTGAGTTCTCGCCGCACTTCTAGAGCTGTGTTCCCCGTTATCACAAACACGGCATCCATGGCGTCCGTCAGCACGTTGCAGGCGTAACCAATGTTAATGGCAGTCTCTGGTACAAAGAAAGATCACCTCTTGTTACATAAAGTTTTGAAGCTGTGACTGTGTCTCCAGAGCCTGTCAGACCCACTGATGTTAGCACACACACACTGCAGCAGAGGTCTAGACCTGAAGCCTAGAACCAAAGTCACCCCTCACGAAGCCGCTGGAGGTTGATTTTCAAAACTGCCTTTAGATTCTCAAATCAATACTCACATGTAAATCCTAAGCTCCTGTGATATAATGAAGAAAAAATATAAACCTTTTTTTTACAAGAAACTATAAATAATTTTGAGTGCCAAAATACTAAACTTGGCTAATATTCAGTTCTAATATGACAGGCTTAATAATTGAAGACAAACGCATGAAAAATTTTGTAGTTTCCCTGCTACATGAAGAAAAATGGAATTTACTAGCCAGTTCAAGAACCACTCAGAACTGCTCTGCCAGAGACCTGGAGAATTAGACGGTAATTTCTGTTCAAGTTTTATAATCTTTTATTCGAAAAATACAGAATCATGAAACACTAGCTAGTTCTACAAAATGGTTAGGCTTGTCCTAAAACAAAAAAGACAAATAATGAAATCTCAGTGTATCTTTTATATAAAGAAATCAGATAGATAATGGCACATGTCACCGCTGCTGGGCCCAAGCCCCAACCCCAGCAGACTTCCCCCACTCGGGAGCAGGTCACACAGGTTAGAGCAGGCACAAGTCACACCTGCTTAGACTCCAGCTGCTCAAGTGCAGGCCACACCAGTCAGAAGAACAGAGACCCTCTGTTATACCAAAGTCCAAGCTAACCACGAGAAGGACAATTCCCAACTTGGAGAGAATCTCTCAACTAGACCAGAGATCATGCCAGCAGTCAGAAATCCAGGCCACAAAAACTAGGAAAAAAAATAGAAGAAACAGAAACCAAAGAACAAAACACCCATATAACAAAGACAAACTCAGATATCAAAGACTAGAACTAATCATCCCAAACCCAGATGACTAAACACCAATGTGAAAATACAATCAGCTACAGCCAGAGCAATAAAGCATCACCAGAGCCCAGCTATCCTACGACAGAAAGACCTGAATATTCCACCACAGACAAAGCACAAGAAAATTACATTTAAAAAACTTTATGAAGATGATAGAATTTCTTAAAGAAAACATGATAAATTCCCTTAAGGAAATCAAGAAAAAGACAACCAAATAATTAGAGGATATCAACAAATCCCTTAGAGAATGCCAAGAAAGCCAAGAAAAAGACAACAGGTGAAGAAAACTATTCATGATATAAAAATCACAATAGAAGCAATAAAGAAAACACAAACTGACCAACTGAGGGAATGATGGAAATGGAAAATCTGGGGAAGCAAATAGGAACTACAGATGCAAGCATCACCAACAGAATACAAGAGATGAAAGACAGAATCTCAGGCATTGAAGATAAAATAGAAGAAATAGATTCACTGATCAAAGAAAATGTTAAATCTAAAAATACCTAACACAAAATATCAAGGAAATTGGAACACCATGAAAAGACTAAACATAAGAATAATAGGAATAGAAGAAGGAGAAGAATCTCAGCACAAAACCCCAGAAAATATATTTAACAAAATCATAGAAGAAAATTACCCTAACCTTGATGTGGAATTCCCCTCTGTATGCTGTGAATGTGTTTTATTACCATTGGTTACTAAAGAAGCTGTTTTGGGCCTATGGCAGGCAGAATAGAGCAAGGTGGGAATTCCAAGCAGAGCTAGAGGAGAAAAGAAGGTAGAGTCAGAGAAATGCCATGTAGCTACTGAAGGAGAAATATGCCTGCCCACCAAAACCTTATCTGTAAACTATATACCTCATGGTAAAATATGATATAATAAGAATGGGTTAATTTAAGATGTAAGAGTTAGTTAATGAGAAGCCTGACCAAGCAGTGTTTTAATTAATATAGTTTCTGTGTGATTATTTCGAGTCTGGGCAGCTGGGAAATGAACAAGCAGCTTCTGCCTATGTAACCTAAACAAGGGCATGCCTATAAAAAGAATCTTTCAGAACACCAAATAGACTGGACCAGAAAAGAAATTCCCTTGTCACATAATAACCAAAAAACTAGACATACAGAACAAAGAAAGAATATTAAAAGTTGCAAGGGAAAAAGGCTAACATATAATGGAAGACCTATCAGAATTACACCCAACTTCTCAATAGAGACTATAAAAGCCAGAAGATCCTGAACAGACATTCTGCAGATTCTAAGGGATCACAGATACAAGCCCAACTACTATGCCTAGCAAAACTTTCAATCACTAAAGACGGAGAAAACAAGATATTTCATATCAAAGCCAAATTTAAGCAATATCAATCCACAAATCCATCCCTATAGAAGGTACTAGAAGGAAAACATCAACTCAAGGAAGTTAAGTACACCCACAAAAACATAGTCAATAGACTCACACCAGCAAAATCCAAAGAAGTGAAACACACACACACACACACCCAACAACAACAACAAGAACAACAGGAATTAACAATCACTGGTCATTAATACCTTTCAATATCAATGGACTCAATTCACCAATAAAAAGACAGACACTAACAGAACGAATATGAAAACAGAAGTCATCCTTCTGTTGCATTAAGAAAAAAAACCCACACCTCAACATCAAAGATAAACATTATCCCAGAGTAAAGGGTTGGAAAAAGATTTTCCAATCAAATAGACCTAAAAAAAAGCCAGTGTATCTATTCTAATATCTAACAAAATAGACTTCAAACCAAAATTAATCAAAAGGGATGAAAAAGGACATTTCATACTTGTTAAAGGAAAAATCCACCAAGATGACATCCCAACTCTGAACATCTATGCCCAAAATGCAATGACACCCACATATGCAAAAGAAACATTACTAAAGCTTAACTCATACATTTAACCCCACACATTAATAGTGGGAGACCACCCACTCTCACTAATGGACAGGTTGTCCAGACAGAAACTAAACAGAGAAATAATGAGATTAACAAATGCTGTGACTCAAAAGAACCTAACATATATCTACAGAACATTTCACCCAAACACAAAAGAATATACCTTCTCAGTACCTCGTGGGACCTTCTCCAAAACTGATCATATACTCAGTCACAAAGGAAATCTCAACAGATACAAGAAAATTGAAATAACCCCCTGTATCCTATCAGACCATCATGAATTAAAGCTGGATATCAACAACAGAAATAACAAAAAAATCTACAAACTCATGAAAACTGAGCAACTCTCTATTGAATTCCTACTGGGTCAAGGAAAAAATAAAGAAAGAAATTAAAGATTTCCTATAATTCAATGAAAATGAATGCACAACATGCCCAGACTTATGGGATACAATGAAAAAAGTGCTAAGAAGAAAATTCATAGCACTGTCTGCATTAAGTAATTAGAGAATTATCATAAAAGAGACTTAACAGTACACCTGAAAGCTCTAGAACAAAAAGAAGCAGACATACCCAAGAGGAGTAGGTGCCAGAGAATAATCAAACTCAGGACTAAAATCAATAAAATAGAAACAAAGAGAATAACACAAAGAATCAATGAAACAAAGAGTTGGTTCTTTGAGAAAATAAAAAAGATAGGCAAACCCTTATCCACACTAACTAAAAGGCAGAGAGAGAACATGCAAATTAATCAAATCAGAAATGAAAAGAGAGACTTAACAACAGACACTGAGAAAATCTGAAGAATCATTGAGTCATACTTCAAAAACCTGTACTCCACAAAATTGGAAAATCTAAAAGAAATGGACAATTTTCCCAATAGATACCACCAACCAAAATTAAATCAAGATCAGATAAATAATTTAAATAAACCCATAAACTCCAATAGAAGCAGTCATAAAAGTCACCCAACCAAAAACAAAGGCCAGGGCCAGATAGTTTAAGTGAAGAATTCTACAAGACCTCCAAAGAAGAATACTCCTCAAGTTATTGCACAAAATAGAAACAGAAGGAACAATGTCAGTTTTTTACGAGGCCACAGTCACCCTGATACCCAAACCACATAAAGACTCAACAAAGAAGGAGAATTACAGACCAATTTCCCTCATGAACACAGATGCAAAAATACTTGTAAACTGAATCCAAGAACACATCAAAAAGATCATCCACCATGATTGAGTCAGCTTCATCCCAGAGATGCAGGAATGGTTAAGATATGTCAATGTAATCCACCATATAAATAAATTGAAAAATAAACAGACCTTGAAAGAATAATACTCAACTTCATATGGAAAACAAAACACCCAGGATAGCTAAAACAATCCTGTACAATTAACAGAACATCTAGAGGTGAAGGGACTGAGACACCAACCCAGTCAAAAATCCTTTCACCTACAGTTGTCCTGCCTACAAGATGTGCTGGGGTAAAGATGGTGCCGAAATTGTGGGGGTGAGCAACTAATGACTAGCCCAGCTGGAGATGCATACCCTGCAAGGTTCCCAGAGGGCCAGGCCCCAGATGCAGGATACCCCAGAGACCTAGGTCTAGACCTAGAACCAAACATGAATGGCAAAAAAATAGCCAACAAAAGATCCCTAATGATATTCTGAGTACTCATAAAATTAGTGCCTAGCCCAGCTGTCATCAGAGAGGCTTTACCCAGCAACCAATGGAAACAGATGCAGAGACCCACAGCCAAACATTAGACAGAACTCAGGGAATCCTGTAGAGGAGGGGGAGGAAGGATTAGAGGACCAAAAAAGGGTCAAGGACACCACAACAAAACCCACAGAACCAACTAACTTGGGCTCATAGGGGTTCCCTGAACCAACAACCAGGGAGCCTGCATGGGTCCTCTGCATATATGATACTGCTATGTAACTCAGTCTTTGTGTGAGACTTCTAACAGTGAGAACAGGGGCTATCTCTGACTCTCTTGCCTGCTTTTGGGACCCTTTCCTCCTACCGATTGCCTCATCCAGCCTTAAGAGATGGGAGGTGCCTAGATTCACTACAACTTAACATACCATGACAGGCTGATATCCACAGGAGCCTCCCTGAAACCGAAGAGAAACAGCGGAGAAGGAGTGGATGGGGTGGGGAGTGGGGTAAGGAGGGGAAACTGTGGTTGAGATGTAAATACAATAAATAAATAAATAAATAAATAAATAAATAAATAAATAAATAAATAAATAAATAAATAAAGCTTTAAAAAGAAAACAACATTCACTCAGTGTCTAATCATTCCTAAAAGTGGTTCAGCTTCCACAAACAATCCTGGAATTCAGCCAGGTGCACAGATTGGTACAACTGTAGTTGTTAAGATACAGTAACACGACCATAAACAGCTGAGAAACAGCTGCTGCCCTTAGCCTCTCAGGAGGTTGCTCAACACTCTGAGTTCTAGAAGATCTCCCACACCTCCCTGCCATCAGGAAACTAAAAGACAATGTAGGGTCTCCAGTGTCTCCCTTCACGACTGATATAATAACGCTCGTGTGAAAGCCGTGTTGAGAATGTTTCTCTATAAGCCGGGTGGTGGTGGCACGTGCCTTTAATGCCAGCACTTGGGAGGCAGAGGCGGGCGGATCTCTATGAGTTTGAGGCCAGCCTGGTCTACAAGAGCTAGTTCCAGGACAGGCTCCAAAGCTACAGGGAAACCCTGTCTCAAAAAACAAACAAACAAACAAAAGAATGTTTCTCTATACAGGCGGCAACTCTACAGAAACTCTGCTGACCAGAGAATATATACTATAAGAGGTATCGTTGTTAGTTTTTTCAGAAAGCATAGAGAACTAGGAAAATGTTGAAGTACTTAAATTTGCTGGTTAACACATTTTTTTCAAAGAATTAATTCTCCTTCTTCAAACATTGTCACCCCTTTCCAAGTTACCTTGTTTGTCTCCTGTTAGAATCCAGATCTTAATATTGGCTAGAGATAGACTTGTAACTGTTTCAATAACACCTTCTTGTAACTTATCTTCTACGGCAGTGGCACCTAGTAGCTTCGTTGGAGAGTGAAAATTAATGTTAATACATGCAAAGAACACATGTAGCACCTGTAGCTTTCAGAGTTTAAAGATAAAAGAATGGAAAATGAAGACAGCTTATAAAATGTGAATATAGTAAGCACCCTATTGTGTATATAAATCGATCAATTGGGTAGAAACCCAAAAGAAAGCTCACAAGCCAAGCCTACTTAATAACAGAGGCCCAAAGAGGTAGAATTCACATGAGGAAGATGGAATACACAGATAACACGCTTGCAGAAATGAGCCTAGGCTAACCCACCTCTAAGGATTTAAGAAGTCCCTAGCCGCTTCTCCACATTGAGCAGCAAAGGAGAGGTCCAAAGAAAAGCCCTCCCCTCATAGTCCAAAAACTAAGGGGACAAAAGGTAGTGTCATTCCATGAATTAAGAGGTCAGCAGATAATCTAATAAAAAGTCAAGATTGTTCAATTTTCACCAAGTGATGAGACCTGCTTCCTATAACTCCCAGCTACCAACCCCCTTGGTCACTGGGATCTCTGAGAAGAGCAACTTCTAAAACAGACCACACTCTGGGTAGTCATCAGTCTTCTGGACCTGGAGTTCACGTCTATAGCCCTGCTCCCTACCCACATCAACTGTCTCTGCACTAAAAGTGGGGTCACAGAGCACAGAGAGGAAATGAAGAGGCTGTATCAAAGATAAACTGGCAGTTGAGAAATGGGGCGTCTACTGTCCTTTACTTTGGGAGTATTTCCATTTCATAAGCTATTATTGCTGACAAAGCCAGTCCTCTAGATTCACTGGGGCCACACGGAGTAAGCTCAAAGCCAGCACATAAAGCGAGACTCGGCACCGAAAGAGAACTATTGCAAGAGGACTTAGCCAAAGGTTTAAGGCTAAGAAATCACACTTCCAAACTTATACCATCAAATCTCTTTCAATTTCTTCATAGAGCCCAGATATCCTTTCATCCCTCTCCATGGTGGCGGCATTTGCATCTTCGAGCATCTCCTGCCACACTTTAAAGAATTTGTCATCAAGCTCTCTGTAAGCAATCGCCAAGGTGCGAAGGCCTTCGCCTGCAAATTCCTGTAAGAGAAGATGGAATCTTAGGAACAAGAAGACGCCAGTAAACACAGCCAAAGTTCCCACAGTGTGGGAAGGGTTTCACTCACATCCATTTTGTCCCAAGAGCACTGCATGGCCATTCCGACTTCAGCTTCCCATCTCCTCAGACAGAAGAGAGAATGGTTGTGTTTTATGTTCATGCCTATGAGGTTTGACCTGCAGGGCACTAGTTTACCCCCTAAAAGCTGCTGAGAATGCCTGTTGAAGTGCTTTAACTGGGAAGAAAGGAATAGTATGGAAGAGAGATGTTTGGAGTAACTGTACCTTCTTTATCTATAGGAAACGTTCCTGTCCGTGAGTCACAGGCCTAACTCCCAGTGATGAGGAGAGGCACTTGGAGGAGCCACAGATTTCCAGGCAAAGAGAAGAAGCCCTTTTGCGGACTGTATCAGGCTCTCTCACCAAGCCTTTCCACAGTCCCTAGTATAGCATCCTTGATGACCATGACCTTCTGGTTTTCATTGTTTCAATTGAGAAGTCAGGTGTAATTCTGACAGATATGCCTTTATATTTTACTTGGCCTTTTTCCTTTGTAGCTCTTAATATTCTTTCTTTATTCTATGTGTTTAGTGTTTTTATTATTATGTGGTAATGGGATTTTTTTTTTGAGCCAGTCTATTTGGTGATCTGTAAGCTTCTTGTATCTTCATATGCATATCTTTCTTCAGGTTGGCAAACTTTTCTTCTATGATTTTGTTGAGTATATTTTCTGTGCTTTTGAGTTGGACTTCTTCTCCTTCTTCTAAACCTATTATTTTTAGGTTTGGTCTTTTCATTCTGTCCCATATTTCCTGGATATTTTGTGTTAAGATTTTGTTAGATTTAACATTGTCTTTGACCAATGAGTCTATTTCCTCTATTGTAACTTCAATGCTTGATATTTTCTCTTTTATCTCTTGTATTCTACTGTTTATACTTGCATTTGTGGTTCCTGATCATTTCCTACATTTTCCACTTCCAGAATTCCCTCGGTTTGTGTTTTCTTTATTGTCTCTAGTTCAGTTTCCAAATCTTGAATCATTTCTTTCACCTGTTTGATTGCTTTTTCTTGGTTTTCTTTAAGGGGATTTGTTGATTTTTTTTTAAATTTTCTATTTGTCTTTTCCTCCATTTCTTTGAGGGAACTTTTCATTTCCTCTTTAAGTGCCTCAAACATTCTCCTAAAGTTATTTTTAGGTCGTTTTCTTCTGCTTCATCTGTATTAGAGTGTTGGAGTTGTGCTATTGTAGAGCCACTAGTTTTTGGTGGCATTGTGTTGTTCTTTGTGGTGTTGAGTGTGTTGTTTTTTTTTTTTTATCTTGTCTACCCATATTTTCCTCTGGTGTACTTGTGGCCGTGTCTCTGGTGATCACTCTTCCAGGTGCTAGTAGATCCAAAGCTCAGATGGTTGTTCCTCGTGGTGAGTCAGGGCCATGGTTCTAGTCACCCCGGAAGTCACTCAGCATTCCAGGAGGTTTCTCAGTGCTCCTGGAGGTTGCTCTACAATCTTGGAGGTCGTTTGGGTCTGCTCCCGAGGATGTCTCTGCTCCAGAGGAGGTCCCTAGCTCCCGCATGATCCTGCAGAGGTTGCTGGCTCAAGCCTGCTCCCATGGAGGTCACTGACTCGGGCCTGCTCCAGTGGAAGTCACTAGTTTTATTTTTTAATAATAAAACTTCTTTGAAATCGTGAAGACACAATCATCAAGTCAGACAAGCTCAAATATTCATTATTTGTTAGAAACTATGTTTTCTGGAGTTAATTTTTTGTAAGTAATCAAATATTGGGAATTCATACTTTTCCTAAGGTTAGTGTTAATTGTCAACCTGACACAGCCTAAAGTCATCTAAGAGGAGACTCAGCTGAGGAACTGCCCAGATCACACTGGCCTTTGGATATGTCTATGGGGGGATTGTCTTGATTAACGGATGCAGGAAGGCCCAGTCCACTGTGGGCAGGACAATTCCTAGGCAGGTAGTTCTGGACTACGTAAGAAAGCTAGTGAGCAAGAGGCTGTGGGTGGGTGAGTGAGTGAGTGAGCCAGAGAGTGAGCCAGCAAACAGTGTTCCTCCATGGTTTCTGGCTGAGGTGCTTGCCTTGAATTCCTGCCCTGTCATCCCCAATGATGAACTGTGACCCAGACATATAAGCCAAGTAAACTAGACCACTTGGTAAACTGACAATCTCGTGATTCTTCTGGTACTTTATCCTTCTAACAGGGGTGAGGGGTAGGAGACTGGTGACTCCTATGTGTCTCACACAGCCATATTAGCTAGAAACATACATAGATATGAGTGTAGGGGCAATGTTGAAAACCTCAAATCACTTGTGCTTCCAGTGGTCACTTTATGGGCCTCCAAACTATGAGTGAAGCATTTTAATGGCCATTTCTGCTCCTTTGGACATTGCCAGTCTTTAATCATGTTTCTCTGTCATCTTGATGTATGGTGCAGATAGAGTTTTGGGATCAGACACATGCTAAATCATGATGCATCCTAATGAGTAAAAACGAAAAGCCAGTGCACAGTGCAGAGATGCGCTTTAGCCCAGAAAGACCACAAGACACATCAGCTGAATCCATCACCCAGGCAGTTGGTAATAGTGGGGACATTACATTCACATTTACAAGCCCTATCTTCCAAGAACATCACCGCATCCCCTTCTGATCTGAAAATCTAGTTACAGCCTCAAAACCATCCTTTGTCTTTTCAATTTGCACAGACGTGTCTTTGTCTTTAACTCGCAACCCCACTGGGCATTGCCACTGCCTCCCTCTCTGTTCCACACAACAGTGAATCAACTCGAGGAGGACACTAGAAAAGAGGACAGATGCCTTAGGTCATCTAATTAGTCATGAAACACACAGTTAATCCGGAATGGTCATTTGAGCAAGGCCTTTTCCTATCATTAAACTATCCAAAATCAATGATTAAATACGAATTTACAGGGCTAGAATGCACAAGCCAAAATAACAAACGTGAATGAAGGGAAGGGCGGGTTCGATTGATCTGCCCTCAAAACAACTCAACTAGAAAGGAAAATGAAAAGGCCAAATTCAACTTTAATATGAAAGGAAAATGTCTACAGCCTTGGTGTTTGGGTAATGACAAAAATCATATAGCTATTACGCCAATATTGTTTTAATTAAGAAAATTAAACAACCATGTCAGTCTCTGGAAAACATTAAGAGAAAATCAAGAATGTTCTGTTAAAAAGAAAAAATAGCTATGTTTGTAACAATTATTACTAAACCATCACTTTAAACTTAAAAAGTCAAGCAGAATATTTACATTTTGTTTGTTTTTTAGAAGAACTGAGGGGATGTTTATAATAAAAAACAACATCCAACAAAGGAACATGCACCTTCAATAATTTTGATGGAGGAATAAAAACTGATAAAATGATCATTTTGAACCGTTTCCTACAAATTTCGCTGGACTCAACCAGAACCTCAAATAAATTATTAGTATGCCACACGGACACAGGTTTAAATCCACAGTGGTCCTATAATTTCATAGGCCCTTGCCTTTGAGAGGGGAACGAAGGTACAAAAAACCCTCTATGCCCTTCAAAAATTTCTGGAAAAACTTGCACTAGTCTTGAATGTGTCGGTTGACAACCAGAAGACATATGGGACTCGCAATTTGTAGCCCAAGTGAAAGAAGCCCTAAAGGAGAAAGTTGGTTATCTCCAGAGATTCTCTTTCCCTCACCATCTAAACACAGCCATAAAGTGGTGGCCCTGGAGGACCCTGAGCTCACCCCACGGTGTGGCTCTCCCAGCTGTCCAGTGCTGATCCACCTGTGCCGAATCTCTGAGTGGCAGCCGGTTTCCAGACACTCCCTGGCACTGCCCTCTGTGGCAATGGCTCCCCAGCTGCTTTCTATTTCAGAAGTCAGCTTGTTTGCTGATATTCACTAACAAGTACCATAGGGGATGGCAAAGGGCTCCTGTGCTGACCTTACTATGGGGCACTTACACTGAGATGGTCTGATGTCAAAGACAGCAGGTCTTTGTTGGAAGGATGGAGTTTCTCAAACAAAATAGTGTCTGCTCCTTTGGAATAAAGTTTTATCTGTCCTTCTGGATTTCGAACTGGAAAAAAAAGAGCAAGAGTAAGAGAGAGAGTTTGGAAAAGCAGGTTGTATCATTGAAATCTGTGAAAAGCAGACTCTCCCAGGACTCCAGCTAGCCCATCTGGGAATGGACATATGGGTTGAGTCAAGAACAAAGAAACTATTCAGGGCCTTTGGCTAGACAATCACTACCTAAGTCAGTAGGCTTTATTCCTGCCCAATTAATTTAAAAACACTCCTTCTAATGGAAGTTTTTGATTTTCCATACTCAGAAACAAATATTTTTATACTTTTATACATGACCTACCAACCTCCCTATTGCAAAATGGTGAAAAGACATAAATTAAGCCATATGTATTAAAGAGAATTAAGAGCTTTAGTTGAGAGTTGTTGGTGTGGAATTCAAGATCTTCTACTCAAATAAATATCACTGTCATACCAACTCATTTCCACATGGAATTCTAGCCACTGGAGTTGTTACCATCTAGGAGTCTCCATAGGGTTCATTTTCTCTGCCATTAAAAGAATTAAAAGGCAGCAAAAAAATCACAGAGAGAGCCAACAGAATCAAGCAGTGAAGAAAGACTTTTATTAGAAGCAAGAATATACACACAAACACACACAGAGAGAGGGGGAGGGAGGAAGGATAAGAGGGAGAGAGAGAGAGAGAGAGAGAGAGAGAGAGAGAGAGAGAGAGAGAGATTCCGAGCAGAGGGGGACTCTAAAGTCCTAATATCAGTCTCTCCTTTAGGACTGGGAGCTTTAAACATCTTTGGGAGCTCTTCCTCCCCTACTTTAGAGCTGGCCAGTCTGAACAAAGACAGGGTGACTGATAGGGCCCCAATTTGGTGAACCTGTCCTAATCCCTCCTTTGTGGTCCAACAGAAAGGGAGCCCTATTGGTGAAGACAGAAAGACCGCCAAGACTTTGTTTTACACTGTCAGGCTTTTGCTTGGATCAGGAGGGTGAGAAGAAAACTACTATCGCTGGAACTTAGTTGTGGATTTCTCCCTGCCTGTCTGGCCCCCTCTGTACCTGATCCATCCAACTCCTAGTCCCTCAGGGTGTTAGATGCACAACAGTTTTGGTCCTTGCTTTGCTGCTCTTTTAGGCCCTTTGTTGTTAGGAAAAGCTCATTCATTTCAATGGTTTGTTCTTGGGTCAATCATAGCTACAAACATACTTCACAGAATCGAAAGAAATAAAGCTTCTACCCTTCTCCCACGGGAAGTCTGCTATTTGTAGAGCTGTTTTCCTTTCTTCTCCAGACACAGGAATTACAGCTATCACTAGACTTCTGGTTTCACTAATCTCACCTACATGTTCTACCAAATCTCACTCTCAAGTCATAAATGAGTTGACCCAACTTTGTAGGCTTGGTTTTACGTTTTGTCACATAGTAGGCACTCAATAATTTGAATTAATTAATTAATTAATATGAATATGAATATATTTCTTCCTAGGAGATCCAACAATGTGAAACAACTACCTGGGCCACAACTTCACTTTATAGTGTGAATACATGCCTTCATAGTTAAATCATAGAGATCAGTTTATCAGTTAAATCATAGAGATCTTTCCATGCTCTCGGCTTCCTGTATCCTCTAAAATCAGAATGCCTCCACACAGGGTAACATAAACACACTTTACTATTCAGTTAGTGGGAATAAGGTGGCAATAGGAAACAGGTTGGAAAGGGGTGGGTGTCCCTGTACCCTTTTCCCCTCATGAAGGTAATTATAAGAAAAACTGTACCAGGTCATCAGATAGGAAAGTTGGCCAAGGGTCTTAAAATAGAAAGCCATGACAAGACCCAGGACTAAGAGATTCCCTGAGTGCTGTGATCTGCTCAAGCCGGAAGGAATCTAGAAAAGAATGTGTTGATTAAGCACTTGTTCTTCTTTATTGGTTACAGTCTTTTGATGAAAATTTGATGGTTTTAATAATTTGGGGGGTGGAGATCGGATCTTAGACTTCCTATGTGCTGAGATTAAAGTAAACATCACACCTGGATATTAGACCCATAATCTCTTAAAAGTTTACAGTTGAGAAATCTTCAACTCAGATCAGATTTTGAGAGTCAATGTAATTTATTCTTTAGTGGTTATCTGTCACCTACCTCTATTCAATAGCTTTTTTGTTATTGTCGTTTGTTCGTTCTTATCTCTAGACCTTAATGTACTTAATTGGTGCAATGGGTTCTTCCATAATGGTATGAGATTCATATGTTAGCTAATCAGTAGATTCTATAACCTTTGACAAAATACTATAGTTTATTTAAGTAACTTGAATAAGGGGCCTTGTCCCCAATTGAAAGCTAAGCATGCTGATATTGAAATTATACATTAATAAGTTGATGAATGACAGTCCCCCAAACAAACAAACAATAACACAGAAAATGAAGAAGGAAGTAGAAGAGGAAGAAAGGAAAGAAATGGCAATGGGACACTGAGGAAGAGATCTCAGCAGCAGTACCTGAGCACTCACAAGGACATTGTCCTCATAGAACAAGCCACACGTGACAATCAGGAGGCTGGCATTGCTTTTTGCCTATAATGAAACATACTTTTCTACTCTAGCAAAGCCCCTCTTGAATCCCCCTGACACACCAATTGAAAGCCAAGCAGCCAGAGCGAAGTCTGCCAGCCCTATTCTACATTGAGTATTGCCCTTACCCATATGGGATCCATTAAAGCAGACATCTGATGTCTGTGGTTAGACTGAGAATTCCCCACAGCCTGTAATGGTGACCAATGCTGAGCAAAAGTCAAACTTCTCCCCATATAACAATCTTAGGTTTTTGTCAACACCCTCAGAACAAAATGAAACCCATGCTGAGCCAACTGAGGACCATTGACATCTCCCCTGGGGTTGTAAATAGAGGAAAGTTCCTGCTGATACGATGCTAAGCCAGCACCTAGAACAGCCTGTGTGCTTCTTAGTCAGTGGAAACTGCCTGTGGCCTATTATCATAAAACAATTAAAATGAACAATCTCTCCATACCATGTTCCAGTAAAGACCCCAAACCCTACCACTATGGAAACATACATTTTCCATAGTAGGAATTAATTTAATACAATGACCAAGGTGTTTGTAAATTACAATGTGAAGCAAATTAGTAAAACTCAGAGGGAGAAATTGGGGTTCAACTTGAAAATCCAAAAAGCAAAGCAGCCAGTCACTGGCTGTTACCTCGACCTCAGACTGAAAATGGCAATTCTGCCTCCAGGGATCTCAGAATGAGACTATGTTGAGAGCTGATTCCTCCCATTTTATAATCCTCTCTAGGGCTGGGATTAAAGGCATGCACCACCCAATTCCTATGGAAGACTTGTGTGGTTGCTGGGATTGAAGGTATGTCACATTGCAGCCTGGTCTGTAAGACTGGCCAGTGTGGCTATTTTACCCTCTGAACTTCTATTTATTAAAATACAAATGAAATACTGTTACATTTTCCCTTTTTATCTAAAATAAAGAAGGCTACAACTAATATAAGAAAACTATATATAGTAGTACAATAACTATGTACAATATATACAGGCAATAAATGCATCAACAATGTCTAGTCCATTTGCATTTGACAAATTCAAATAAAATACTCCACATCTATCCTATCTTGGTGAGTCCAAAGTCTTGCACATAACTTACTTTCTATCACAACTTGCATTACCAACCAAAACTATCTTTTGTTATCTCTCAACCTTATATACTTTACATTTCTTTAGTGGATTTCTTTTTTGAGTCTTGTAAACAAGGGAGACTCTAACTATAACTATCTAGTTTTCAACTACCTCAGAGACCTGAGAAAAAATAATATTAACTGAGTAAGCAGGAAGTACAAGCAAGTGACTTCCAGAAAATGTAACAACAGAAACAGCTAACTGCCTGTAGAGTCACCCAAAGTTCCTCTGCAACACTGAGGCATCCATCTACAGCCTACAGGCCTAGCATATCCAACAGACTTTTCTGTGAAGTAGGATATTTTGTGTTCTCTTTATCTAATTAGGACAGCATACTGTCAGCAGTCGAGGCAAGGGCATTTTCTTACCCAATGGCTTACTTTTACCACAAAGAAAGTAAACTCCATGTGGAGTTCCTTCAATGCTCATTATCTATTCTGAAATAGATTGGTGTTTCCAAGAGCATACATGTCTCATTGTCATTAAAAAAAGAACAACCTAAGTTATTAAAACATTTTAAATGTCATATTCTGTAAATCTCCGAAGTGTTTGAAGATGACCTATCTATCTAAAATATATCTTCATTTGTCCTTAAAAACACACCTAATGTGACTACAAGTTTGATTACACTAGGTGATTAACTACTAACCTATATTTTCTTACTATCCTAAACAGTTGGTAACAACTGTTTTCAAGGACTAGAGATTTGCATTGCTAAATGAGCTAAATAGGTGCAATACCTTGAACAAGATTAGAAATGTATGTACAGTATGTTTTAACAAAATTAACCTCAAATTTGTATCAATATATAAAATTTGCATACAATATACAAAAGTCAATCCAATTTAAAACTAATAGCTGCTTTTTTAAAGTAAATTCAATAATCTACCTTTTTATCTTATCATTATATCCTCCCTTTTTCTGAGCAGATTCAAGAATCTGTACTTTTATTCTATTATATCTATATCCCCATTTTTTTTTCAAAACAAGCTTATACCTATAGCTTCCCTTTTTTCTTTTCAGAGTAGATTCAAGAATCTACTCTTTTTCCCTATCATATCTGTATTCCCCCCTTTTTCTTTTCAAAACAAGAAATTTGAATCTAGTTTCCTTTGTTAATCTTTTTTCCTGACAATTTTCTGTACCAACTTGAAAACAACACTCTAAACAGAGACAAACATCCATAATCCATTTTGGGGAGGGTGAATGTGGGCATAGTTTTCTAGGCAGTTCCTACTGATAGGGATCATCACTAATAATCTTACAGGGACCCAAAGAAAATTTAGGATTATGGTCAAGTACTGACTGGAATATTCTGTGAGGCAGGGTCATCTCAGCCTGCAGTCATAAGGATGCATGAGGATATAGTCATGGATGTAGAACTCAGATGAAACTGAAAAAAAGGATGCTCTGAAATGTTGGATCATCTGGGCCATCTGCTCTACCAGAGATTTCTCAGGGGGTCTTCCTCAATCAAACCTTATTTTTCTTAACCAAGAATGAATCCACAATTTATCCAACCTTATTTTTCGTAACCAAAAATGAATCCCTAGCCTCTCATGTCCTGTGGAAACAGAAGTAAAACCTTTTCTCCAAAGTAACATATCTTTTGGCTTAAATTTTGAAGTCAAATTATTTTCAAAATATATATGTTGGATTAATCCAGCAGCATTTATAATCAAATGTCTTTTAGCAGCTGTTGCTCCTTCCTTGGCAATCAAACAATTCAAAGACAATACAATAACATATAGTATCCAGACTCTCGGTGTATTTTCCATCTTTGTATGGAAGCTAAACTAGGGCAGACGGGAGCAAGGAAGGCTAGTTTTTCTCCTGAACCCAAGTGGATAGGTTTGGGTCCGACTCTGGCCTGAGCCAGTGACTAAAAAACCTCAGGCAAATGGCTTTTTCATAAATTCTTGCCCCAAAAGTTGGGTGCCAAAATGTAGCATGATTAATAAAAACTCAGAGAGAGAAACTGGGGTTCAGTCTGAAGATCCTAAAAGCAAAGCAATCAGCCACTTGCTCTTACTTTGACTTCAGAACAAAAATGGCAATCCTGCCTCCAGAAATTTCAGAATGAGACTGTGCATGATAGCTGTCTCCTCCCGTCTCTCTAGGGCTGGGATTAAAGGCCTGCATCACCCAATTTCTATGACAAACTAGTGTGGCTACTGGGATTAAAGGTTTGTGTTATTGCTATCTGGTCTGTAAGGCTGGCCAGCATGGCTGTTTTGCTCTCTAAACTTCAGGCAAGCTTTATTTATTAAAACACAAATGAAATGCCACTACTAAATATTACCACAAAGAATTTCATTTGATGAATATTTATAGAGTTTATGGGCCAGTCCAGCGATTGGCCCTGGGCAGTGTGAAGACAAGGCTTTCTGACCTCAGTTAGCACCCAGCCTATATGCTGCTGCTATAACAGGAGCCCCAGGAGAGGGAATCTCACCACTGTGCTGAACAAAGCATTCTGGGGAATACCATAAGAAATAATTACTTGAAAAATAAGAAAAACAAATGACATTTAAGATTGGACATTATCGGATGAGGAGTTTTCAGCAAAAAGTAATTAGGGGAAAAGATTGTTCTATATCTACATTAAAAAAATACACACACAGAATATAAAAGTATGCAGTGCGTCCCAGGAATAGTGAAGTATGATGACACTTCAGCATAAAGTTTAGAAAGTAAAGATAAATAGGTTGGCATCACATTGCATGTGACCTCTCAAGCCACACTAGGAGCATTTCCCTGTGAATACTGGGAGGCCAACATTATTTAAGTGGTGACATAATCAGTCTATGTTTTAGAAAGAGTGGTATATTGCCAGCATAGAGGATTATTTTAATGGGGACAATTTTGAAGACACTGCAATAATTCAAGTAAGCAGTGACAAGACCCTTAAATGAGGCAATGATACTAGTAACTAAGAGGAAAGGACAATAGAATTTTTATGGAAAAAATGTGGTTTAGTAGACACTTGATTTGTGAATAATTCTAGAATGCATTTGGAAAGGGAAGATTTAGTATTACGTTGACAGGATTCTAGAGATTCTGGATTTAGAGAGTAACAAAGAAGGATATGGTTTGAGAAACATCTCAAATATTCCTATGAAAACTGATGACTAACAATGAGGAAATGATAGTCTGGTACCTTGTTTCTCCCCTGGGGTGTACCATCACCGTCACCTAGGAACTCATCAGAATTGCAAACCTGGGGACTCTACCTCCAGTGAACTAACACACACCCGTGGCCAAAGCCAAGGGATCTGTATTTAATAAATCTTCAGCTTGCTCTAATGGGAGCTAAATTCTGGGAATCATTATCCTAGTACTTAAAAGATATGGAAGTGTCAAAAGCAAGTGAACTTCCAAGAAGTCAAGAGACCAGTTTCATTTGAGGCGTGGCCTTTTCGGTTTTCAGCGCTGGGGTTGAACCCAGAGCCTTGTGCATCCTCTAAAGCATTTTCCCACTGAGCTATGTCCCACAGCCCAACTTCAGAAGACAACCCCACATTTCATTATTTTCTTTGCATCTGACTGGCTGTGTAGCCTGTTATACGCTATGTGATACTCTTGGACAAATGTTTGGTTTCTTGTGTCCTATGTGAGGATAATATATTGTTGCAATAGCCCTCACCAGAGAAGTTTCTGTTCTCAGAAGATGATGATTGGCTTAGAGACCCATTACTAATCAACGTACAGAGAACGAGAAACTGGGATATTCAGCCATAAATGGAGCATCTACACCATACCCTGCATCCCAAAGCTTGGGAATAGTTATGGAAAAGGGAAACAGAAGATATCTGAACCCAAGACAGGGGGTGACTACAAAGAAACAGCATCTTCCGAACACAGCAGGCAGCAGCGCACATGAACCCCCAGCAGTTGCGTCAGCATGCAGAAAACCTGTGCGGGCTCAAGGCTGATGAAATCCCAGCGTGGAGTGAGGAGGGGGTGAGCATGAAGTCTCCTAGCCAAGGAACTTTTGAGATTAATAGCTCTGGGAGAGGAAGAGTCCGTTTTCTTTAAGAGTGTAGAGCCTGGAAAGTTGACCACTCTCCAGTAGGAGGCCACACACCCAAGAGTATACGGGCAGCACAAACTGAACTTGATAGGTTAAAGAGGGGAAAAGGGAGGACAGAGTTAGGTGGGTGGGGAAGGAGGGCTTGATCTGGGAGGAGAGGGGAGAGGGAGTAGAGATGATTAAAACCTATTCTATAAAATCTTCAAAAAGCTAAGGAAAAAAAGGATAATTTTAAAGGGTTTTTTTTTTTTAAAAAAAAAACTGCTCAGAGATCGAAAAGAACTGGGAAAAAAAGCATGTAACTAGTCTGAGACACTGAGACGGTGCTGAGGGTTAGTGCTGAGTTATCGAAGCTTGGATGGGATGTGGTAAGTAGTGGACCATTGTCTCCAGCAAGGGGATAAACACAAATAATGAATGATGTGAGAAGAGACGATGCTGCTGAACAGAAAAGATGAACAATATGAGAATGGCCAACGAGGCCCACAACAACCAGCACAAACTACACAATTCAGAAATTCTCCTGAACTAGAGCTGAGAAGCTCTCTCAGATCCTCCTGAGCCAGAGCTGAGCAGCTTCCTGTCAGTCAGATCCTCCTGAGCCAGAGCTGAGCGGCTCCCTGCCAGACTTCTGGATTTGACTCCACTATGTTACCAGCTTTGTGGATTCAGTCAGGGAAGTTGCTCAACTTTTCTTTATCTCAGTTTGATTATTTATAAAATGGGCATAAAAAGAATATCATGTACTTTACTGGGGTTGTTGTGACAAAGCAGTTACTTTGGGTAGAGAATTCAGAATAATGTTGGGCGTGGAATAAGCTCTTGTTGAATTTTACTCACATGTTATTACACTTTTGAGGTTAAGTTGGGGATCATGAGAGCTCATAAAGTTATGAAAACATAGCACGTAGCCAGGAGTTAAATTACCCTTGAAAAGCACAAACAAATTAGAGAAGCATCAAAAGATAAATCATCATCTCGGCTAGCAAACATACCTACGACAGACATCCTTTTCCTGATGTTGTTGAAATCCAAAAAGGCAAGTAACTGATAAGTAACAGGTGTTCCCAATTCTTCCACTGTTATTGTCTCTGGGGTGCGAGACTTGAAAACAAACCCCAAATTTCTAGCAGCGGTAACTAGAGCTCCCTCATCGGGTGATTGAACTTGGTAAACCAGCTGTCCTAAAATGAAAAGAGACAAACACATTCAGGGCTGAGGGTGATAACTCATGTTCATAACTCCAATGCTAACCCCAATGCATTCTTTAATACCCAACTTTGGCAGCAACTCTAAACATTTGTTCTGTCCTTAAATTACATCCTCTCACTAACCATCTAGGAGACCCCAAGTCTCCATGCGTACCACCATGCAGTCCTTCCCACCAAAGTATCCAGCTGTAAGGCTGACTCTCCTCTGTGATAAAAGTTTCTTGGGTCATGGATTATAGCTCTTCACTTTCAGTGACTAGAGGTTCTAACTAAAACATTGTAATACATTAACTCATATGATCCTCAGGATAAGCCTTTGGAGGAAATGATGATTTAAATAGCTATTTTCATTTTTATACAGATGGGACCTATGGCTGAAATAGATACACGATCATTAGGAAGATCAAACAAGAAGTGAGGAAGCAGATGCTCTGGCCTTTCCTTCATTAAGTGTTAATGACCATTTTATGAGACCAAATGCGTAAAAATTCACCAAAATATAAAGGATCAAATCAAGATGTTAAAGACTTGTTGCTTACTAGTGTGTGTGCTGGGGTGGAGTTAAAAGGAGAGAGAAAGAACGAAACATGTGGGAAGACTACATGGGCAGATACATGTTTACTATTTATAGTGCTCAAGATATATTGTTAATAATTGGGTTTTCTATTAGTGGATATACTATTCCTTGTGAACAATAAAAATCCTACTTGTCTGCATATATTCTTGAATATACATTTACAAGTAAGTCCAAGAGCAAATCAGTTAAGAAGCTAAAGCAGAAAGCTTTCCATGAGTTTGAGGCCAGCCTGAGCTTCAAAGTGAATACCAACCGAGTCGGGGTACGTAGCAAGACTCTGCCTCAAAAATCAAAAGAGGAAGAAGGGTGGTAAAATAGTTACTTCAGACTTTTTCATAGCTTACCAGCCATAGTTAAGATGCAAATTTACCACTAGTAGGTAGAAATTTCTAAATAAATAAGCAACATCTATGGATTAAAGAAGAAACAAATGTTACAGAATATAACATAGATAACTATATGAACAGATCACACAAATTGACTATAGTTATAAAAATAGCACCTGTGAGTTTTTAAAGGAATAGAGACTACGATGAGAATATTCCATGTGCCAGGACAGGCTTGGGACCCACCTAAGGCTCTTTGTTTTACTCAAAAGATGCCTCATGCTTTCATGAGTTTACTATGTTAAAATCTTGATGTTAACCACTAAAATAAAATAATAAAGATACATTGTTTCCAAAGTAGCAGGCTTCAAAAGGACTAAATCTATGAAAAGACAAAAAAAAAAAAAAAAATAAGAGTGTAAGAAAGGAAAGGTAGGACCGACTAAGATGGTTGAAAAGAACTGCAAACGTTATCAATACTTGAGCTTTAAGTATTAAAACTAAGTGTAGTGGCAACAAATAAGCAAATGAACCGTGTGCTCTCTTATCCTTAGTGTTGTCTACACTGATTTATTTTTAATGTTAAGATGTATCATATACAAGAGATGTATCCAAAATATAAGGGGAGACAAAGGAAGACCAACAAAAGCTAAGTACACAGATGTCTATGAAGGAAGACCAATCCACTACAGTAACCTATAAATGATTACTGGAGACAATGAGATCAGACAGGCTATAATTCAATGAAAATGGAAGTCTGAACTATTGTCTAGCATGACCTTATAAAGCAAACACTGGCAAAACTATAAGTATCATACAAGTGTGCTGTTCTATTTGGTGCTCTAGGCATATTTTGATGAGCTGAGGAACTGAGCTATCAAAATAATCCATTAGAAAAACCCAGAAGATTGCTCATACCTATAATTCGAGCACTTAGAAGGCTGAGACAGAAGGATTGCCATGAGCTGAGGGCATCCTGGGCTACAGAATAGCAGGCTGTCATCAAACAAACAAATAAACAAACAAAAGAACAAGAAGCGTTAGCAATATAATTAAAATATTGTTGGATATACGTGTTTAGAACACAGTACCCTCAAATTATAGAATATACATTCATCTCAAGCATTTATTAAATGTTCATGAAAGTCAAGCATATATCAAGCCATTTTCAAGCTTCAATAAATCTTAAAATTAATATAAGTCAATAAAATAAGTTTTAAAAATATAATAAAACTTATGTCATTTATTAAAACAGAAAATAAAAGAAAAAGCTTCCTATCAGGTGGTAGTGGCACACACCTTTAAACCCAGCACTCCAAGACAGAGGCGGGAGGATCTCTATGAGTTTGAGGCTAGCCTGGCCTATACAAAGTAAGTTCCAGGATAACCAGTGCTACAGAAAGAAACCCTATCTCAAAAACAAAAAATCTCCCTAAAATACTTGCATTTCTCACTCTCTTATTCTGAAACTTCACTCTGTCAGAGACCAAAACCACAGTCCCTCTAGATAACTTCCCCATGAAACAAATGCCATATGCATAGCAATATTCTCAACCAGGAGCTGAATTTTAAGTATTAATACCAAATGTTAGATGTGAACTCTCTCCTTTTCTCTATGTGACATTTACGCAGTGAAGTTTTGTTTTGAAAGTTCCTTAACATGTATGGATTTGTTTGAGCCTGACCTACACATTCCACAACAAAAGCTTTGAAACAAAAGCAAGTTCACATTACCTCAAAACATAACCCTATCGGTGGGATTTGATGTCTGGAGACAAGAGGTAGAAACCATTGAAAACATGCCCGTTTCTAACTCTTTTCTCTTCAGAAATCCTTGTGAGTGGCAAGAGACATTGACCAGCCGCAAGAAAGGCTGAAGAGTGACCTCAGGAAATGCTAAGTATGGAAAGCAGACGGCTGGGGCTCTCATTCATGTATAGTGGGGATATAAAATGGTATATTAATATTTTTAAAAAATGGTTGAACAGTTTCTAAGAAGTTTAAACATATCCTTATATGATGAGCTGGAAATTTTCATTCCTAAGTATTTAGACACCCTCCTTTTCCAATTTCTTAAACAAATAATTTTTAAAAGACATAAAAACTCTTTGTGGCAACTTTACTCACAAAAGCTAGAATAATCTGTGTATTAACAGAGAACTGGAAAAGGTTGTAGCATGTTCATACAGGGAAATGCTACTTTAATAAAAAAGAAATTAGTAACTGAGATACCAGTACCGATGACAGAACACAGCACACAGAATATATACTGTACAATTCTGCTTATATGGAGGACAAGAAGGGCAAATTCATCTTTAGTGATAGAAGTCATGGCAGAGCTTGGGTGGACTAAAGTTTCTAGAAACTAAATAGGAAGGTCAGGAGCAACTTCACTGCACTGATGGAAGAAATTTATGTCTTGATCCAACCAATACCTCTAGGGATATTTGTAGCTGTCAAAGCTAACCCAATTTCAATGTTTATGCATGTGTATGCATGTGTGTACTTTGAAGATCTGGGCACTTCAATGCATTGAGTTGTAGCACAATGTAAATTTTTAATAATACCAGAATTGAAAATGAATCTACAAATGTGAGAGCTATCTGAAAGATAAAATGCCAAATTGATCAATAAAGAAACAAAGATAGAGGAGGAAAAATCATAGTTCAAAACAAATGCAGAAGAAAAATGAAGGCAGAGGTGAGAGAAAGAAAGCACCAATAGTATCCAAACTCAGTCAACAAATGGAAACAGAATCTTGGAGGCCTCGTTAGTAAAAACTACTTAAAGAACTCCATTCGGCACCGCTGGACACTGGGCTCCTTCTCCAGCCAGCTCACTCTGAATGGCAGGCTGAAGCAATACTTCTTCTATGGATGCATCCTTAAAAATATTTTTCTACACTGGCTGGGTTCAAGCCACCTCATAAAAAGGTCAAGACCTGAGTCTGGGACCCAAGACCAGAGGTGAGAGAATGCAGTCGCGTCAGACTACCACAGACTAGGAGGTGAATGAGAAAGCGACCTATACATAATTCTATCTCTAATAAGAGCCCTGGCAGACTCCTTGTCCTAGCCCTGGAAAAGTAAGACCGTAACAGAGGTGACATGACTTCCAGAACAGAGACCCCATATCCAGAAGGTCAGTTACATGATCTTCTTCATCCATACAATCTTGAACAACAGATTGAAGCAATCAATGCCATTCACCAAACAGGAATTCTCTCACACAAAGAGGAACAGACAACCAGAAATCACCAAACACTTGAGAACAACACAAAACTTAGATGCAGAAGAGGGGGGAGGAAGGGAGGGAGTGAGGAAGGGGGGAGACAGAGAGGGAGGGAGGGAGGAAGGGAGAGAAGAAGAGAAAAGACAAAGAAAGAGAGACAAAGACAGAGAAAGACAGAAAGAGAGAGAAAATACTCAATAAAATACAGTATACTGGATGAAACAAAAGCAAATTTCAAATTAAGTATAATTAATATCCTCAATGAGATCTAAAGAATATCATAACATTAATGGAAAACAGATTGCTATTAAAATGAAATAGGGTTTGGGAAATGAAAAAAGCTCAGAAGGCAGAAATAAAAGAGACCTCCTTAAGGCAATTCCCAGAAGGGAATAATAATTCCTTGTGGTGTTAATATTATAAAGATCAATTAAAGCCATAAATAAAATTATGTGGATCTTCAAAGCAATTAAAATCTAAAGAATGGGTTAACCCAGCACTTATTACTTCCTTGGGTAGTAATTTTAACTTAATATTTGGTAGCAGAAGGAAAAAAACAACCTACAGGTGAGACCGTTAGGCTTCAAAGGAAGAAGCTGATTCTCTGGCATCATCAATTACCTCCCAGCGTCAAAATGGAAAGTAAGCCAGCTTGTTTGGGTGCATTTTATGAACTTGAGCTCCACCAACCATGTAGCATGAGAGAGGCCTTGACCAGAATGATGGCCACAGTGCTTTAATATAAGTTTACCCCCATTCTATGGTCATCTTTATCCGTTAGACGTTCATGTGTCGTGTGACTCAACTCTGTTACCCATTTGTTCTGGGTTCTAGAAGCTTCACAGCCAAATGTGGTGCTCAATCAAAAGAAGCATTTCATCCAGCTGAAGGACATACTTGGAGCTTTCTTTTCTTATTTATTTATTTTTTTTCTGTAGCTTTGGAGCCTGTTTTGGAACTAGCTCTTGCAGACCAGAGGGGCCTCGAACTCACAGAGATCTGCCTGCCTCTGCCTCCCACGTGCTGAGATTAAAGATGTGCGCCACCACCACCCAGCCTGGAACTTTCTATTGGTACTGTATCTTTTTTTTTCTTTAAAGTATTTATGGGGACTGGAGTGATGGCTCAGCAGTTAAGAACACTAGCTGCTCTTTCAGACAATCTGGGATTCATATCCCAGCACCCACATAGCAGCTCACACCTATCTGTAACTCTAGCCCCAGGTGATCAGACACCCTCTTCTGGCCTCCATGGGAACTGCACACAAGTGGTATACAGACTCGCATGTGGGCAAAACACCTATACATATAAATAAAATTAATACAAAATAAAAATATTTCCTTGTTTATGAGAAGCACCCAGGATAAAAACAAACTGTTTGGAATAGTCTACCTTTATTTAGTTCAGAAATCTTTCCATTCTAATATCAGTGCTTATCTTTGTTATATTTTTTTAAAAATCCCTACTCAAGCACACTTCATTTACCTGCACCGTCCTCCTCTGACATTACAGTGTGGCAGAGAGCAAGCAAGCGAAGGAATTCGTGCACTTTGGGGTCCCCCAATTCAATGGCTTCCATCAGACTGTGGTCAGAGAAATGAAGCACTCTTTCTGACTGAGATTTGCCTGGGATGTCCACAGCCTCCTTTTTCTGCAAGAGAACACCACCACCGAGTCAAGCTTTTTCCAACAATAATCCATTGTTGTCTTTTCATTTTTGACCTTTGTACTCTTCATGGGGCTGTTACTTTTAAAAACACCTAACTTAAAAAAAAACCTACAACCATTTAATCCCAAATTGTTTGAAATATATAAACTCTAATATCCATCTCACATGCTGCTGTGTAGCAGAGTAAGGCTTCCATCCCAGAGGGAAGTTCATAAATACATGGGATGTTAAGGAGGAGGTGAAACATTTCACCCTGCAAAGAAGATTAATCTTAAACTCAGTGAGGACACAACTCAGAATAGCTTCAGGAAGTCCCTGAAACCAAACAGATCCAATAAGACCCCCCCCCCCCTCCTTCCACAAGTATATAAGCAGTAAAGACGTGTATAAGCCGTGAAGGATGCTCACCAACCAGAAACACTGCCTGAAAGGGCCAGAGACCAGCCAGGCTGCCTGGAAGAGACTCAGACCCACTGAGCTGCCTGGAAAGGACACTCTCCAATCCTGAGCTGCCTGTAGGTTGTATGGGTTTCCAGCTTTCATGAACTGTCACCACTCTAAGGTGGGTTCTGGTAATGCAGCTGTCTGAGATAGTCTGCCATTTTAGTACAATGGCAAGGTGGATTGGTGACCCCAAAACAGATGTCTCTAATAGGCAAAGTCCTGCTGCCTGGGCAGCAAGGCTATATCCTGTATTATGGGACTTCATGTCCCTGCCAGTCCCCAGACCATAGGTGCAGGGCATGTGGCTCATTCCCACTCCCCCGGCCTGGACTCTGGCTGAACTATTCAGTAAAGTGGAAAGAGAGACATGGGACAGGGAGGAGCCCTGGTGAGGGACTTGCAACAAGAGCAGGCTGCAGAGTCAGGGCCAGCAGCCCTCACTGGTGTGTGGCCGTGTAAGGCTGAGAGCGTTTCTGTCAGCTTCTACTGCTTGTGAAGCCACCAGTGTCGACCTCTTGGTGTGGAATCTAATTGTCCGTCCCACCAGGCCGGTGAGTATGCCTTCCTGGGCCAGCACGGAGATGAAGGAGCAGATTAACTGGTAGTTATGGGTCCTCTTCTGCTCACCAGTCTTGAACTTCCCTCACAGTTTACAGTCTTGGCTTCCACACACTTCAGCAGGGTTAGCTAGTACATTCCTCCACTCGCGGGCTCACTGGGCCTTCTCAGGCCAGTCCTCTCTCCACTGTCTGTCTTCTACCATCTCCTTCTCCCCAAGGCTGCTGAACCCTCTTGTCTTGTCTTGGTCTGATAGAAAATGAGGAGCCTTTCCCACCATCCGTAAGTGCCATGGGATTCAGTTCACTACCCTCAGCAAGGTACAGCAGGCCCGTGCTGATGATGGGACCCAGGTCACTGACATCAGCACCCAGTCAGCTGTGGTTGTCTCCTAAAAGCACCTTGGTGATGTGGGAGATGCCAGGCCTAGAAGGCTGTGTTGACCTGACAGAGAAGATGGTGAATGAAAGTATTGCCAATCTTGGAAGCTGTGTCTGTGTGGTCATTGGTAGAGGCAGGAAGGGTGGCCAATATGCGGGCACAGCCACCCCGCAGCTGATCTTGATAAACAAGAACCGATAGGTCATTATGAGATTCTTGAAGCTTCCCAGCCAAGATATTGATGGTGTTGGGCTCCATCAGCAACAGCTGCCTACCTGAAGAACTTATGATCTCGGCTACTCCGTCCTCTCTGCATGTAGCTAATGGCAGAACTGAGTTCTGCATGCCACCCTTGTCATTTAGTTGTCCTTGCCCTGGGAGTGCTGCTGAGGTGGGCACACTGCAGCTTGACTGCAGCCCTTACCTGCTGCCAGCTCTTCTCCTGCTGCATAGGGTCCTTGATATAGCTGTGATTGTCCAGAGAGGCTGGTAGCTACTGGACAATGTGGATAGGAGTCAAGGGAACCCCACTGAGGATGCTTCCCAGAGGTTTCACCAATGGATAGAGTTTGCTGGGAGAAGTATGCATTTGAACTCGTAGGCATGAATCAGTCACCTCCCCCGTACCACTTGTGCGGGTGCCCTCAAAGTTAGCTAGGGCCCTGCCTGTCTCCAGTACTGGGGCGGGGGGGGGGGGGGTCTTGCCTCTGTCTAGATTGGTCTCCTCAGTCTGAATTGGCTCTGGTTTTGTTACTGTAATCACTGCAGGGCCTCCTCCATGGCTGTTTATGTCAGTTCACCTTCAGTGCAGATAGCCTAGCGTCATACTTAATCCTGTGACTGGATACCACTTTCAGTAGCAAGGCCCGCATGCTTCATGATAACCCATCAGGCTTCATCTGTCTACTCCTTACCCCTCCCCCAACCCAGGGCTCATGACCAAGATGGTGACTTTTCAGCCCAACCAGCTCAAAGATAGGCCCAGAGATGACGATGCGGCCTGCACTGTTTCTTGGAGAGGTGATGTGCTTCCGGCCTGGCATGGCAATTATGTGCTTGACTTGCTTGGGGGCATTGCCAATTGCATAGCCTTGGCTCCCAGGACTGAAGGGCTTTATTGACATCTTTCATGTGGCCCAGGGTAGGGCCCACATCCATATTTCTGCAGTTCAGTAACATACTAAGCATGAGTGTTACAATAGCTGAGAATCAGCTGATGGCAAAGGTGGTGATATTCACGATGCCACCTTTAGTCATATGTCCCACCAGTGGAGAGACCTTACCTTGCTGTGAAACCTGTACTTTTCCATCCAGAGCAGGAAGATGAATCCATATGTCGCCCCTGGCATTTGACCTTAACGCCACAGAGCTCCACTTGTACCCTTTGACACCAAAATTAATGGGACATCCTGACCTAACTTCATTTTGAGAGCAAAATCTGACCTGAAATAGTGTGTGTTTTGCTAGAGCCCCCTTTGAACTACTAATACTTATGAATTAGCATTTGCTATTACAAATACAGTAATGTGTTCTGCTGGTAAGCACGCCCTTAAATCTCACTGTCACTAAAGAAAATGGTGGGCTGAATATGGTGGACAATGAGGGCTGCTGAGAAGCCAAGGACAATGCCACTGGGTTTTGATCCTACTTCATGTTCTGGCTTTGTGGGAGCCTAGCCAGTTTGGATGTCCACCTTCCTAGACCAAGATGGAGCGGGGAGGACTTTGGACTTTCCACAGGGCAGGGAACC